TGAAAAGGCCCAATTCCAAATCCGCCGCAATAGCGATCATGAAGTCACGACACGACCAACGCTGCTGATGACTGGAGAGGGTTGTATTGGTAACAGCATGAAATCTAATGGTCTTGTATAATGACAACACTGCGTCGAATTTTGTCAACGGGAGCTCATGTTTGGCCACCCAATATGCAGTCTTGAAAAGTGACGAGATATAGCTATCCATCGAGGATCCCTGTTGTTCTGCCAAGCGCTGAGCGTTGGCTTGGGCCTTTACCCACATCTTTTGCTGCAACCTCTTATTCAGCGCTGCAACATGCGGAGCTGATTTTTGGTGGTCGATTAAAGCGGATGTCTTCGCATTTCTTGCCCCCAACTTGGGGTCAGCAAACGGACCTTCTTTCTTGCTTCCATGATTGATACAAATAGAGCAAAACGCCCGGCGACGATCGTTTGATATTACAAGCCACTTGAAAGTTTTCTTCCAATCGAGACGAAAGTAAGTTTTGTGACGTTTGCGGGCACCGACTGATGTCAAGCTGCGTTTCCTCCGGTTGATGGTGTTGGATGGATTCGATACAGCTACTTCGTCACCTGAACTTCCATCATTGTCAAGGTATTCGCTACCACCAGCGTCCGATAAGTTTTCCGTATCATTTTGAGTCGCGTCCACATTTCTGACTTCAAAGTCAATTTGAATTAAATCGTTACTTTCTTCATCTACCTCACTCCATAAGTCATCATCCAAGCCATCTTCAGGGTTTAAGATATGTGCTAGTCCCAAATAGTTATGAGTAGTTGGAGAAGCAGGATCACGTTGACTAGCGGGATTGGGAATGTTTGGGTCACCCTGAGAAATTGTGGGAGTTAAGGCAGTTTCGGTTGTACTTGAGTCTCTGGATCCAAAGAAGTCACGAATGGTTCTTTTAGAAGCGTTGTGAGACATGATTTACTGTTTAAATAAGTATTGGATAGAAATGCACTAAAATAAGAAGAATTATCACAAATAAGTTCGCCGGTCAGGCTTCCCATTGCCGGAACCAGTCACGAAACTGGCGGAACTGGGGTCGCCGACGGGCTTTCGAATCGCCGGCGCCAGGTTCCTTGCAGCCTCCCAATCGCCGGCATTTGCAGGTGTAATCACACCCCTGGTCGAGACACAAGCTAACCGCATTACCGCAGTGATGTCTCGCAAGGGAGAGACAGTGGACCGATCACTGGTCAGTGGTCGAGGGAGTGTCGAGGGGCCATGGAACACCAATTTAGTAATACCATTCATTAATATATCATAAGGAGGGCTGACAGCGGTTACCGTCCGTTGTATTTTGTTGCACTGATGCATATCAGAACTGCTACTCCAGTCACCAGTGTCACTACGTACTATTAACATCTATTAGCATGGCCTGCGATACCTCTGCGATACTGTTTTCAGAGGATGACAGTTCTTCAGCCCGTATAATTTTGTCACGTGCCTTTAAGTGTTCTCATTTCACACTAAATCTGACTATTATCTGACCACATCTGACCACATTCTACAATTTCAACACGCCCCCGGCGGCCCGGCCCCCTATGACCGAGGTCCATGGTATGTTGACCAGAGCGGACATCATAGTCATATTCATACAACTGATGCAGGTTGGGACTTGGACTTGGGACTTAGCCTTGAGATAACTTGGGCCTGGGTCCTGGGTGGAGGGACTAGGGAGATTCGACTAACATTCGAGATTCCACATCCATCGCAATCGCGCAGGGCGTTTCCCTTTAGATGCGTATCATCCTATCAGGTGTGTCCCTACAAACGACCAGAGACAGAACGTCCATTTTCCTTTCTTTGTTCCAAACGGCTAGAAATGACCGATCATTCGGTTATGTCCTACTAGATGTATTCGTGAAACGACAACTCAGCTGAATTTAATACATCGCATCAATTGCGTTCCTTGAAAGTCAATTGCCTTATGTCCGAGGACAAGCATGAATAATTTTGACGTTAATCCAACTGCAACATCTGACTACTGAACTATGCTACTAAATAACATCATTCTTGGCCCGCCTGTATATTTTCCAAAATTGAGTATCGAGCAACCGATTCCTAGTTCTTCCAACGAAACATTTGCCCACAAACATCCAATTTGCTATTTGGAGCCGGTGCCGGCCGCAAATCTACGATCAGAAAGTACTCCGTTGACGGGTTCGGTGACCTAGTGTTATAGGGAAATCGATTCTATGCAATCACTACTCCCTGAAATAATTGATGCACCCTTCCGCTCAGTGTTTGGACCATCCGAGATCAGTACAGTTTGAATCTACAATATCAACTCCTGAAGCTATCCGTAGATGTAACAGTAAGTTGACTGGTTGGACAAATCAGCAATTCAGCATTGACTATCAAGCAGAACGCCCAGATTGCAGGAATGGTATTAACCCGAGGTTACCCCTGAGGATGCAGTGATGCCGCAGTGTCGTTGATTGGTTTTCGGACGCGTAGACAGTATAGAAACGGAGTGAGATCCTCTATACGGTGCGTGCCCCTAGTTACAGCCGAAAATAATTGTTCAAGAAATAATGCCTGCCCCATACGTCGTTTAGATAAGCACGCATCTATAATCGGCGCTTAGCACGTACTCAGGGAAATGAAACATATATTTTATCATATTTGAAAATGCGCTGCGCCCCCGTATTATCTCCTCAAACTGTCTGGATAGTCAGTGCAAGGGGAAAACGGACAGAGATTACTTGCTCCGAAAAATATAAATTGCCCTGTATTTCCTCAAAATACACTATCAATCTCACCTTAAACTGCCTACAGTTCTCTTTAACCTCCCCAATCAATACTTCTATCAATTCGATAATGATTTCCCAAATCGCTACTGTTGCTGTTGTCGCTGCTGCTCTCGTGTCATCCACAATCGCTGAACCGGTCATAGCCCCAGCGGTTGCAGTGGCAGCAGGAGCTGTTGGTGCTGCTGGTATTGTTGGTGCTACGGCTTTTGCAGTGAACGGAGCAACAAGTCTCGACAAACAACGCCATGCCAAGATGGAATTCTTGGTCCCCAATGTTCAAACTGAATGGGTTTGCGGAAGCAGTGTTAATATTAAATACAACACTTTTGGTTTTGGATCATTCTGGGTGAGTATTTAAGCATGAATGAATCTATCAGCGAGACAAAGATTTCTAACTTTCGATACCTCCTCAGCGTATTTCTAGAGCCAAATTCACTCTTATCGACTCCAACGGTAACAAAGTTGAAGAAATTAACCGCAGCAAAACTGCCGATGCCGTTAAGGAAGAGGTACATTTACATTATTCTAAGCCTTTTATATTAACTGTTATATCTGACTTCCTTGTCTTATCATTGAAAGCGTACTGCTGCAATCGGTAGAGCTCGTAACGGTCGCGGCGAGATCTCCTGGAATATCCCTGATACACTCCCTACTGGTAGTTACATGATTGAATTTGAGTCTCACAATGCTATGAATATGGATAGATCTAGACATAGATTTGTTTCAGCTCCATTCAAAGTTCAATGTGGCGGCAGTCAAACATTTCAAGCCAAAACTCAATAATTGATAAAACGCTATAATTATCGACGAGATTACTTTAGATCTAGAGATTTGTAAATGAACTAAATTAATACGTTTTTGTATTCATATCATAGAAGATTCATAAAAAATATCACTTTTTGCTTCAGAGAATACCCTTTGCCCGCTAAGTGCACTATACACAACTTCAGTGATTGGCGCTGAAGCAGAACCATCGTTAGCGTCCGAACAAGGCTTCCTTGAAAATGCGAACTCCACACTCAAATATATTTCCGTCAGTCGTAAATATGTTTGTCTCTTCCATCTTATTGAAGATAATTCATGCATATAGACAGCTGATCAACTGAACACTGTAATGCTGATTTAAGACTAATCTCATCGTTTCAGAGACTACTTTAAAAGGTGCTCTTAGTATATTTTCCGTTTTTATATCGCATTATTTTAGAAAATTTGAGTGACTGTGAATAGTTTAAAGTCGTAGTAAAATTCTGACGAGCACATTGTCTGGATCCATATGCAAATCGCAACTTTGGATGAGGATTACACTTTGGGTTGCAGCGTTTCTAATGCCATATCTTTCAAATCATTGGTAATTCAGATCTTTCCCGCCACAGTACCTGATGGCGTGGTTCTTGTTGAGCTTGGCGGTGCTCTTAATGTAATTGAAGTGTCGATATGTTCAGATACATTTATCAAGCGTACCACGATTTTTAAGATGAAGTAAAGGCGTCCATATATGTACCAGTATCCTGCCGCGGGTCTCTAATTTTAGGTCCGATGCCTTCATCCGAAATATTGTGAAAACATAGTTCATATGATTATATTGATCCATCCTATTAAAACAGCGCAGCATTAAGTGTAATTTTAACACTGACAGAGTCGCCTTTTCATTACTATATAATCATTTATTATCATATTTAGATAACGATTTTTAATGATTATTATTATAAGAGATCAAAAATCTTTTATTTTAATTTATAATATAATTATCTTATTAACCATATTTTGCAGTTTGAACATGTAACATTTGTATTCCACTTCGCTTTGCCACAAAAGAAGCGAAAAGCGTTTCTAAAACTTCTGACTGGAATGACAGACAGCGAAACGAAAGCGAAACGGACTAAAGATTAAGTGTAGGAAAGAAAAAATAACTAGCAAAAGCGTGTGATATCTTTCTAACCCAATCGTTAAATATTATTGATTGACCAGTCAATCTATTCAAAACAATAAAACAAGTAATTACGAACAGTTCCATCAAACTTTCTTCCATAACTGCTTTCAGACACCCTTGTCCATCAATCGTTTCTCGCTTCCTTCACCTTTGAGAACCGAGTTTGATGGTATATATTCTCGCAAACCCATATATTGTTTCATCTTATTCTGGTGCCTGAAGTCTTCTTGAGGGCAATCTCCCTACATTACCTCATGACCCCGGCTTATTTTAATTCTGTAGTTTAATGCGGATCTGAAACATAGGGGATCTAGCTCAAATGGTAGAGCGCTCGCTTTGCAAATCATCTCGGATTAAGGCTGCGAGAGGCACAGGGATCGATGCCCTGGATCTCCATTTTTGCTAGTTTTATCTTGGATGTTTCGATTCGAGTTGAAGCCAGATTTCACATAAATACAGCCGCACATGCTATAATATGGTATAATATGGTAGGAGCTCATGTTGCCTCATCTGTGTTCATGTTCGTTTTAATTGAGGAACGAGCGTGAATATTACAAGTTGTTTTCTTTATCAAATTTCATTGTTTGCTTTCAGGCCATGTAGGTCACACCGCTCGTTTGGTTCCTTGATTTTAGAAATGGGGATTCAGACACAATATTTCGATCAATCAGATAAACGGTTATTTTTGTCAGCACAATAACTTGACAGATTGAAGCGCCATGAATTCAGATTGTCAAATAGTCTAAAGACCATCATCTAGTCCGTCATCGCTATTATCATCGAACTCGGATTCGACAGACACCCCATCCTCGCCATCATCTAGTTCATCCTCCTCACCATCACCATCTTCAAAAGCGGTTTTTGACGTCGCTCGTAAATCCTTCTTCGCCGATTTCGAATCATCCAACGATAAAGTAGAGTCCAGCCCACTTCCTCCTGCTGTAACATTTCCTATGGCGTCCATTGTATCTTTCATCAACCCGGATGCATATTTCGAGGAATATGAAGGCGAACTTTCCAATACGTAATCTTCTTTGTAATAACTCTCCGTTAACAATCTGTAGATGTACCCGGGGGAATATCCGTTAGCGTTAGTTAAAAATAACGTGATGCTTTCCGGCGGAACGTAATCAAAGTAAGGATTCTGTATGTCGACTGTAATGTCGCCGTCCACATTGCTTTGTGAGTATGACAAGGAAGACGACGGAGAAGAAGCGGAATAGTCGAAAATAGAGTCTGGGGAGATGAGGGTGTTGAAGATCGATAAATCGTAAGGGTACAATGGTGTCAATTTATATAGACCAGTTAGACAGACAACTGGCACAGAATAGTACTTTGCGGCAGAGGCGATGACAGAAGTACCAGACAGAGAAATGAGACCGCCGTTGGCCAGCACTATGTTGGCGGTGAAGGAAAAGACTGACAGTTAGCGAACATTGAAAAGTGCAACGGCACGGTAAGCAAAAGGATAAGCAAACCAGCATGTGTGCCCAAGATAACTTTATTTACTCTAGACATCACTGCAAATACCGCCGAATCCGGAATGAAGGTAACTTCGATTCCCATTTTGGACAAGTTAACAGCCAATTCTCGGCCACTATAGTTAGGTGCAGACTCTACAACAATGACTTGAAATTGCCTCGTCTTGGCAGCATATTTAAAAAAAGTTTCGACGGTGGTTGATTTACCGCAAGTAAGAATGATTTCGCTATTTTTCGAACAGATGAAGGACAGTTTAATTTATTAGTGTCATGCCCCACGACGACGAACGAAGAAAGGAGAACGAAGAATAGAAAAAAAAACAAACTTTGAATGAATGTGCTGTAAACTATGCATTGCAATATTGTTATGTAACTCCTTCATATCTTCCATTAAATCGTGAATGGCTTCCACAAACAACGTCTTTGACATCCTGCTAGATATTGTTGTATAATTGATTGTGGAGCTTTCTGTATCACCCATCAGATTGACCAGACCAGAAGTATAAGATAGGGATCTAGTCATTACGAGTTCCTTTTGTTCATCTGGTTGATCCGATTCAATAGCGTCACATTCCTCTCGAATTTGGTGCAAAACCCGACGGACAGTATTACCGACGGCCAATTCTAATAAATTCAAAAATAAAATAAAAAGAAAAAAGTGAAGGTAAGAAATAGACGTTGTAACTCTTTAAGCAACGGAAATCGCACGAATAAATCAACCATATATAACAACAGAGATGGGAAGAGAGAGTATGCTCATCCGACTTTTACCTATTGGTTGCGCCTCTGCCAATCTCTTGCCGACAGACTTCAATAAATTGATGAGTGCTTGAGCGTTCGGCCATTTTCCTTGCGATACAATTATTCGAAGTATCCTCAGGGTCTCGTTTGACACGGCATGCGACCCAAAGACTTGACTGTAGACAGAGGCCGGTCATTCAATCAAGGATAGCGGAAGCGAGGACAAAATCAAGGTATAAGAAACAAACCGCCGTTTTAATTTTGAAATAAAAGAGTCTATCTCCGCTAATATCTGATGAGACAGATGCAACATTCTATGGAAGCGACAAAAGTCTTGATAAGGAATGAAAGAGTGGAAATCGGCCCGAACAGAAATCTTTGTTTACTCCTTACGACAAAACGGCTCGCGAGTTCGAACGATAAACAGAGAGTTCGAATTCAAACTACAACTATCATTTCGGACAACAATTTATCTACGATATGCCCCCAAAAAGAACTCGGAAGAAAGCCCCTGCCAAGGCCCAACTCTCCGCTTCGGCTTCCACCTCGGCCGCCTCGTCTTCAGCGTCCCTCCCCGATCTGGCTGTAAAATCGACCTCAAATGATCAGTCCGATCTCTATCATGCCTGGTCTGCTTACTCTCCGGACAAATCTACTACAGAGAGTGTATTGGCAATAGTCAAAGCCATTAACCTTAAGTTTCGGGATGGCCTTGTGGGTGTTTGGGGTAATTACCTGATGATTGATTCTCTCGTGGTCGTATACGGCTTGAATTGTTCGTCTGACTGAAAGATGATATTGATTTAAAAGATGTCATGACAAAGGCAGACGATCAAGAAGTGGCCTCAGTGAAATTCTCAGAGTTATTTCATTCAGCTATGAAATTAAATCTTGATCCGGCTCTCCCTATGGAAGACAAGTTGTCCGTGTTAGAGTTTACTATCCGATGTTTTCAATCTCTGGAGAATAACATAGTTCGAACTGAATGTCTGAAGTAAGTTTTGTTTGGCACACGTCTTCTCTTAAATTTTTACATTTCTATCCCAGAGATATTTGACCGACAACCTCATTTTCTTACCAACACCCTTTCGCTTGTTTTTGTCATCTCTAAATAGACTAGTACAGCTTACGATTTACAGCAATCTATCGCCTCCACTACGCTTGCAAAAGGTGCTTTCTGAACAGCCCCAGTTGGTGAAACTTTGGAAACATCTGAATAAGAGATACAATTCATCTTCAGACGAAGTGAAAGAACGCCTCGACTTTGAGAAACACTTTCTGAGTAAATTTATGATTCAATTTTTAGATGTCTTAAACAGTATACCTCTCGAACAAAGGGACGCAAAAATTTCTGATATCGGAACAAAGGATCCAAATGGAATGGACATGGACACTGAGGCCGATGGAAGTTCCGTGTTGCCCGAAGACCCAAACAACGATGAAGTCACCATGCAGTCTGATTCAATTGAAGTCAAATATTTGGAGCGTTTCCTCGAATTCTTGATCGATTTGCTGTCTCAATTGCCCACGCGGAGATATTTCAACACACTATTTGATGATCATCACATTCTAGTGTCAATCGAGGACTCGCAATTCACGAAACAACAGCGGTCAAAAAAAGAATCGGAGAAGATTTTGTTCATACGACTCCTAGATATGCTTAAATTTTATGCCAATTTTGAGATGGATGACTTCACCGGTGCCAGTTTAACTGAGGATGAGAGACTGGAGAGGCATGAGCAGAGATTAATGGCGTTACAGGTAAGTTATGCAATATCGAATATTCATTCTCTTATATCTAATAATCTCATTCTTTCGTCAGCGTCTTGCATTCACCAAATTTCGGGAATCCTTAATGGATTTGGCGTTAACAAATATAGCGGCAATCGACACACCGGAGGCGCTTGAATCTCACTTTTCCGCACTCTCTTCCACGGAGCTTCATGCCCTGTGTTCAGAATTGGCCGTCCGTACTCAGCCTATCTCCAATGCCACTGAGTCCTCCTCAACCGAACCCTACCCGACTGCTTTTATAGTAAAGGCCCTCATCCAACACTTCCAAAGGCGGCCATCTCACCTCTCCGAAATCAACAGCACTCCACTCTATCCTACCGAACTGGATCTCTTCTCAGATCCATCACTTATAACTGCACAATCCTTCACTCACGATCATCCTCTCGCCCTTCCAAAACTGAACCTCCAGTTTTTGACTATCCATGATTATCTGCTCCGCAATTTTACACTCTTTAGGTTGGAATCAAATTATGAAATCCGACAGGATGTCGAAGATGTCGTGGAAAGAATGGCCCCCAGGTGGGATTATTCATTGGGAAGGACTGTTTTTACGGGTTGGGCTCGGATGGCTGTTCCTATTTCACGGTTCGATATCGTTGAAGTGGGAAAAATGGAATTAGAACTTGAAGGAAGAAGACCTCGTACTGTTAAAGCTGATGTGTGTACCTCTTCTCCATACGTCTTTCTTTCTCGTTGTTTTTACGGTATTTCAGATGCGGTGAACTGATTCTCTTCTACTTAATATCACAAACAAACAATAAAATTTAGGTAACTTTTAACCTGTCTCGCTATACCGACTCAATCCGTCACGAATGGAACCAACTTAAGCCCCATGATGTCTGCTTTCTAATCTCGTTGGTAGCCAACCCCACAACTGGGGTCGAGGCGTTTACCGAAAAAACAGATTTTCGGTTCGCACTATTACTTTCCTTCCATATATTCCGTCTGTGAGGTACAGTTCCATGATGAGACCGTGTTAACAAATCTCTCTTTCATATCAGATCTTACTACGGAATAAAATATATTCGTGGGTGCGAAATTGCGGATGTGTTGAATGAAGAAGGAAACTCAATCAATGTCTTCAACACAGATGCGGACAAGAAACCGAGAGGAGGGTCCCAGAGGACGATCAGAGTTTTGCTGGATTCCAATCAGTATATGGTACGTTTGGCTAGCCTTTTAATCCGTAGTCCCTCCCGAGGGTAAATTAGCTGACAGCTGCATGATCACCCAAATCTTAGCGTGACATGGATGAAATCAATTCAGGAGCAGAAGATCTGTACACTACTTTTAATATCATCATGCGCCGTAAACCACAAGTACGTCAATATTGTATCAATCACCCATATGTACTTATTCCTTAACTCGTTGTTTCCCTAT